GGTCTTCCTCTACCTCTTTTTCCTTCAACATTCAACAAAAATAGTTAATAATACAGGTTGTATAAACATCTAATGTATACGTTGCCGAGAGCATTGCAATATTAATTTTAATAAAAATGAACTACAGTACTGTGATATAATTTTATTTATTTAAATTTGAAAATTTACATTTTCAAACTTTACTAAATCTTTTTTAAGTAGAAGAAATATTCTACTTCATACTGATGTTCAATTTTTATTTTTCATAAAGTAGAGATCGGTTTTAACCCCGTAATGACCTTAAATTGACGAATATGAAAAAAGGCTACTTTGAAATCCATCATCTTTCAATACAATGTTTTTAGAAATAACCGCGTTGACGTGTAAAAAAAAACTGTCATAAAAGAAAGCATATTGTTACATCGATCTTCAAAACGAGTTCAACTTTATAAAACGGACTAGTACTAAACTATTTTTAGAAAAAAATAGTCTTAAAAACAAATATGAAATTTTTGAAAAAATGTCGGAGCATAACTAAGTTATGCGTTGTGTGTATTGTTTCTGCTTAAATATAAGTTAATTAATTAATGAACAATGAAACGGACTTTTTTAGAAGTCTTATTACTTTAACATCCTTAATTCAATAGACCACATTAACATTAAAATACAATAAAGGGTAATGATTAAAAAACGTTGTTAAATATTGTGAAACATATCAGATGAAAAAACTCGAATTCATCTATTAAAAATTATACTTCTTCTTTATACCAGTGATATTACATGGAGGGGAATTTCTTAGTTCGAGAGGAAAAATCAGCAATCTCTAAAATAGCGTGGAAGAAGTGAATAATAAGAATAAAGAAAAATTATTATTTTATAATTACTCTTTTTGTTGTTGCAATTATTGTAACAAATGATAAATTGTTGTTTTCTAAAATCTAAAATTTTTAAATAAAATAATATATTTATGGATTATGATGGTACCTGGTAATTAACAATGATTCAATTATTAAAATAACAGTTGTTATATATAATAAAAAATAACAATACCTATTTTTTGGAATAGTACAATAAGGAAATAAACATATGACATGATAATTCAATTAATATATACATTGTATTTAAAATGTAATTATTACATTTAGTCATTTCAAGTTTAAATCTAACTTAATTTCTCGTTTTAATTAATATCATTTTATGAAAAATACATTTAACTTTCATGAACTATCCTTTGACCCCCAAATTGCCCTTATGGAGGATATTATTAAAAAACTAAACTATAAAGTACATTTTCGAGTCTTTTAACGACCAAATATGACGAGAAAAATGTTTATTTAAAAAGAGATATTTTGCATTGTTAATAGGGAAAATTGAATATTATCTCCTGCTTTATACTTACATAAGATATGTTAAAAAACACATTTTTTTATATATGTTTATCAACTATATTTTTCTGAAATCTTTATTCAATAATTCATCATATATATTTATTCAAATTTTGTTTATGAAATAAATTTTAATTCTATTTTCAATTAAATATTGTAAAAAATGTCTAAATTGAAAAAAAACTGCTTGGATATAAATAGAATTAAAACTATAAAGAAAGTTTACCGTATATATTTAGTTGGTTTTAAAAAGCTAGTTTCAAGTTTTTGCCTCTTTAACATTATTTTCAATCAATATATACTACAAATTATGAAAATATAAATAATTTTAATGTTTAGAAAATAACATGGTTATAAACAATTAATGATAATATGAGTCATACGCACAATAAACATTTAAGACAATTTTAATTATATTTTGATCATTTCATTGGTATCGCAACAGCTGAAAACGCATTTTGTCTACTCAGTTGTGTATTCAATTAATAAATTCATCCCATGATTAAACCTTTTAAATATTAATGAATATATTTCCATTATATACAGCTTACAATAGATAATTCATTAGATATGAGCAAACAAATGTCCACATCGACGTAAAACAGTTCATTAAGTTTGTGATACATATATAAGCTTATGATGGTCATATTAGTAATCTTACCAAAATAGAAACAATTCCAATTAATTAATCATAAGATAAATTTTGGACACATATTACACTTACAATCAAGTTTATTAGAGTGAAAATAAACGCAAAATTAAGTTCATTCGACGACTGAAACGAAAAGCTACAACAATTAATATGATTCCACAAAATATAAGTATGTTATGATAGAGACTACTAAATAAGATAGTGACGATACTTTTATGTTATAATGTTAAAGCCTACTTCCAAATAACGGCCTCACTGCCATTCATTTCCACCATACGATCCATAAGAACAATTTTCCTTTTATTTATTTTGCCTTGGTGAGTACCATAATATCATAATGATAAAGAATCACACAGTACATTTACGATTATGATCAAAACAGCGAAGGGGACTTACTAAATGTACGACAAAACAACGGCGGTAACTACACAGTAATAGTTAAGTGTAAGGCTCAGTCTTCTGATTTTTTTTATCACGCAAAATCATGAAGCGAGGAAAGAAGTTATTTCTTGATGGTATACGATGATGATTTTTTTCACTTTAAGTATGACGAAAAATATAAAATGAGGTCAAGTCATTTAATATTCTGAGGCTATTTAAACTTTAGCGTAAAGAGGAAATTTATGAGGGTAATTACGGAGAAAAAGTAAAGATACATCATAAATATAATAAATCATTAATATACTAACGATAAATTTAAAAAATAAACATAATTATTATTAATATTAAGTAAAATAACTAATACTACTAGTCCGAAAAAAATGGATTATTTTCTAAAAAAAATTAGGCGAGTTGAAATAAGCATGAAATATTTTTTCCCCCAAATTTCAACACATTCAATTGGACGCTAAGTGCACAACTAATTTCAATTCCACATAACTTTAACATACTCGTGAAGATTAACCTTTAAAAATTATTTATACTATACTGCTATATTGTAATATTAAGGTCAAGTATTTAGTGGGGTCTTTTTTTTGTCACTCAATGATATTTTGTAAATATATATATGTAAAAATAATCGAGGAAATAATTGATTTAATTCTCAAAAACAAAAATACAAAGATAAATAGATGATATCTAATTGATATCTATGATAAATAGTTGATAAGTTAGTAAACAACATTTATCGTAGAATAATTTTATTTGTATTGTCATAGTGTAAAGTAATTACAAGTAACTAAAGATAACATTTTAGTTTTTAAACATTAATTTTTTATATACGAGTTAATGCTATAACGGAAAAAAGGTTAGGCACTGTATTTAAATTTTAGGCTGTTTTGCGTTAAAACTTTATAAGATTTAACAGGATTGCTTGACAAATAGGTCACTTCCCTCGAGAATTTAAAACATTTCTACAGTTATATACAATAGTATTCAGTACTTAATTAAACCAAATTTCGAAGTGGACTTAAACACAGAATACTCAGATTGAAGTTAGTTAGATTTATATAATGGACTATTGTAGTGCAATAAGGCAACGGTCACCCATACCCACTTATCTCTAGAGATTTGTGGTGACCGTGATAGCTATTCAAACAACTAAACAGGGCGGGGTCAAGTTGTAATTTTTTTAATGGTTCAAAATAAACTTCTATACATAAATAAATTTAAGTATAAAACTCTTTTCAGACAGCGACAATAAACTACTTGAAATACACAACAACACAGTAAAGCGAACATTGTTAGTAATATACTAGGAAGATATAAGCAAGACGTACACTCGTTTTCTTAAAAAGTATAAAGCACTCGTATTAACGAGACTAAAGTGCAGTGCTCGACGAAAGTTGACACCCGCACTAATAATCTGTACCGACAAACAGAAGCCAGAAATGACGCATGTTTTTTGTTTATCGTGCATCCTCTTAAGTATCTATGCAGTATTCACAAACGACACAGAAAGATTTATTAATGTACCAGCTGGTATCAATGAGTATAGATACCCGTTTATTTGAATGGTAAAAATAAAAAAAATAAATAAACTTTACCAACGTTTATAAAATTGAAGTAAAGTCGAATTTTGCATGAATTTTATAGTGTTATTTCAGAGCATAAGATAAATTCAGTTAGAAAGTATAACATTTATAAACTTTTATTTTTCGGCATTGTTTAACTGTTGAAGTATTGGTTCAAAAGTTGTTATCAACCTCTCGTATTATTAGTTAGATCACTTCCTTTTTATAAACCAGTTAAACACGTATGTTGCTATTTAAAAAAATTAAGTTTAAGTAAACACCCCTATAAGGGATGATGTTAAAAATTAATTAATATCTGATAAGTCAAAAAATGTATGTAATTAAATAAAACAAATCTTTTTTACAATATTGTATTTATTTTGAGAATAATTAAGTGTTTATGATAAACGTATTATTCTGTTATTATTATGATATAATATAACACTCTTAATTATAATTGTGAATGATTGCTGATTAAGTTAAAGCTAAAGAAAAAAACTTACCCGTTAATAAATACAATCTGCTTTGAGCCATTCTGGACGTTCAAACGTGAATTGTAATATAATTTTGTTATTTTTGCATAAGATGTCATATGAATTCTTGAATCTAACTTAAAAAATCTAGAAAGAAAATGAAAAACATTCATTAGATTTATTTGTACTTAAAAGTAATTTTCAAATTAACTCAACATTACATAAACAATTTTTTATTTTTATCTCATTATTGACAATAACGTTAATAATTTAGCATTAAAGTAAAACACTCAGTTGAGTGTTTTACTTTAAATAAATACTCACTTGAGTATTTGCTTTATCTACTAATTCATACGACAGATGAATTACACTTTAGTTCCTTAATTACATTATTATAAAAACAATAATATTAATTTTTTATGTATACACCATAATTTACTTAATGACCATCAGATCAATTTAAGTAGTTATTTTAAACCAAATTCAATTTTTTATATCTATTCATATGTTATTTAAATAAATAAAAATTGAAATTGAATTGTAATTTGCATATAATTATGTTATGTAATTTGAATAAATTACTCATTGAATTTTCAGAAAACTGTTTGTAAAAAAAAAATGTTTTGACTAAAACATTTAAGAAACATTGTAACAAGAAAAATTCTATAAAGACACGTAGTATTGGATAATAGCCAAACCAACTCAGTGTTAACAAGTATAATCTCGGCCTAAACATCGACTACAAAATGTTTTTAACTAAACAGAACTCAATTTTACGTGAACAATATTGTTAATTGAATCGATCAAATAAATAAAACGTTTACATGTGATAAACAATTTAAAATGGAATAACTGGCATTGATAATAATTTAATTTATACTATTAATCAGTAAATCAATAATTTTCATTATAACAAAAAACGCAGCACAATGGGACGCGGCATAGTTGAAATTATTATTACTAAATTATTTACAGTGCATAATTTATAGGCGTATATCATGTTCAATTTGATAAGTTAAAAATTTAATTATGCAAGTTTCACAAGCGCTTTAACCAAGTATGACACTTAGTAGACTATGTTAATTATTTATTTTTGTTCTACTCAATTAACGTTAAATATGGAAATAAATAAATTAATTAATATTTTTGAAGGGCCTATTTATTTGGAACAACTACTTAAGAATTTTTAATACAAAAAATTTTAATAAAATAATATTACATTTATTATAACATTATATTAATTATTTTGTATAATTGTGTCATTACAACAAAGTAGTACTTGACTATTTAATAATATACTTAATTTATAAGAAAAAAAACATTATTCCATACTTTAATATTTATAAATAAATAAAAAATGTTCAAGTCTGTCATTCTAAATTACTTAAATTTTCAATTCAATTAATACAATTATTTCTCCTATTTCGTTTCGTTTCAATTTTTTTCTTTTCAAACTCTTTTATGCGACGAGCAGATCTAGCCAACTGAGATGGACCCTTTTTATTTTTTTTAGGAATAGTATCTGCAAAAAAAATAGACTCACAATTAAATTTCAAAAGTTTACCATCATTCAACAAACCTCGAGAAGCTTCATCAATATTATCTTCACTAATAACAGTCATACAATTTATATTTTTATGTTTACCGTTAGATGCTTCATTATTATTATCTTCATTAATAATAATTATACGATCGATATTTTGATGATTATTATCAGTCACCAAACCTTCAGATGCTTCATTCGTAACATTTCCATTAATCTTTAGTGATGCCTTTAGATTTTCTATTTCATTCAAATAAACTTGCATTTTGCCTTGTGACTTGGACAGAATCTCTTTCAAAACACTTGCTTTCTTCTCAGCTGCTTGGAGGTCGCTATAGTTTTTGCAATTTTCTTTGCATTTATTGGTTACTTGATTACTTACTTTGACGTCTACCGCATCACCTTTATTGTTCACTTTGAAAACTTTTTTAAAAATCTTCATTAAGCACTTCATACTGTTATATTGTTTTAACAATTTAATTTAGCAATAAAGACAACACTTAGCAATGTTTAAGACTTTTTGACTAAAATAAACTGATAATATATTATTTGACAGTAACTAGATACATTGTTGCTAGACAACAAAATTAACGAAATATTATATTTAAATACAATTATTTTTATACAAATATATTTATATTTATATATTTTAATTTAAAACATTTTATTGAAGAGGGAATAATAAATACTGTCCTCTTCCCAGTTTATTTATTTCAGTTATTCCTTACTAATTCAATAGAAATTAGGGATTATCTTTTTTTTTTGCATGTATATTTCGTGTTTATTCTTAAACCATCTATCAAATAATAGATTAATATCTAAAGTATCTATTAAAAAAAAATGTTATTTTTAATTCGTTTATTTTTCAAATAGTTATGGCAGTTTAAAAAAACACAGCATAGTAAAAATAATACCTTCTCTGCTTCGCATCAAAGATAAAATAGCGATTTTAACGAAATTTTGAGCTAAAAAAGTGTCTAAAAAAAGATGGCCAAATAACGAAAACGGGGCGTACTATTCTAAAAAAGAATAGCCTATCTGTCAAAAAGTTAGACAGTCTAAAATAATTTATATAAAAAAAATTATTTTGATTTGTTCATTTTTCAAAAAGTTAACAGTTTTAAGAAAAAAATTTCAAAATTTACAGACTTTAAAAATCGTAATTTTGTTTTGAAAATTTCTACCATTTACGGGAAACGAGGAAAAAAATTTCTATTTTTGATGGTAATGTCTTCGACTAGAAAGTGATCTTTTGACATATCATTGAAAGAAATCGGCTCTGTGATAGTGGTAACGGAAACACAAATGAAAAATTATAAACACATCATTTTAAAATTAATACCTTCTCAACTTCGTATTAAAACTAAAATAACTAGACGATAAATCTGATTAAATTTTTACTTCACTAACACATTTTTTTATACCATTATATAAACAGTATAAAATATAAATTCTATTTGAAAACTTAATACAAATCAAATAATAAGCAATTATAAACAAACATTAAGTACTATTTTAAAGTTTTTTAATTATTAGTTAACTAAACATTTTATATGATTTCATACACTTTTTAATTTTTAATTTTCAGATTATTTAACAACTAAAAGAAAACCTTTTTCAAGAATAATACTGTTATTATGTATTGATACATTTTAGTACATTTACAAATTTTATGCATTTAAAACTATTTATGAAAAAAAAAACCAATAAATTAACAAATAAAATTCACCTTTAGAGTAGAACGGTTCCCTATTGAGAATACATCACTAAAAGCTTCTCTTTTGTTGGAATTGAAAAACGCTAAACCATGAAATATGCTTTTTATTACAAAGTGTAACTATTGAAACTAAAATAAAATATTACATCTCTTGCAAAACGCCCAATAAAATATATAAGCTTTTTCTCGCCTATATTTTAGACTAAAGTTTATATTTTCTATTACAACGGTTAAAAAAAGTATAAAGCAACATGATCCGGAGTTAAAAAAAAATGTAAACATTAAACTATATCCCATTCATTACAGATAATAAAGATTCTACTGGAAAGACTTTAAAAACGAAAAATATTCACTAAAAAGGCGCTAGAAATCTTAACCTGTGTATATAGTAAATATTTTTGCTTTACAGCAAAAAAAAAATTACATCAATTAAAATAAACTACGATATAAAAAGCAACGATTTCATAGGCAAATCTGAGGGTATAATAACCCAACCCTTTAGTTCTTCATAAAACGGATGAATCATTTTAAAATAAAATGCTGAACAAGGTTGTATTTAAGATAAGCCAATTCATTGCATTAAATTATTTAAAACGTTATGTTTAAATAGAACGTACAAAACTAATTTTTTTCTATTAAAATACATTAATTTACGAAGAAAACACATTAAAGACAATCTCTTCTAAATATGAATAAAGATACATCCGAGTTATACGAGACTACCAGTAAACCGCTTAGTAAGATCAAACGAATTTTAAAGTAATTATTTTACAAACTAATTTCATTTAATGGAATTTTGAGGCAGTTTATGAAAAATGATTAAAGCTAAATCAATAAATGACCAAATTATTGAATACGCATTTTTATTATTACAAAATTTTCCAAATCTTTTATCGTATATGTTTTGAAATAGTTATCATAAATATTACTTGAGATTTTCATAAATAATATTATCTTAAATTTGATTAAAGTAATAATGTAATGTAGTTCGGGTGTTGAGAAGAAAATTTTCTTTATCATTGTAAGAGAATTTTATAATCAAAATATCACATAAGAGTTACAAATTAGCAAGTTGCGTAAATCGTCATGGAAACGTAGAAGTGTGAATAATTTATTAACATAAAAAACACACCAAAAAAAAAAGATCATATGATTTTTTTATAGTACTGAAAAAAATATAACTTTGATGGATAAGCAATAGTAGGAGATAAAAAAAAAACCATAAAATCCTAAAATAAAGAAAAATGGTCCATCTGAAAATCTTTTTTCAAATCTTTTGAAAAACTCTTTTCGAAAGATTCATACACCGACTATGTATGTTATATAAATACTTTATTAGCATCTATACTAGAAGAATACAATATTACATAGATTTCATTGTAGAGTATTTTATTATATCTGTTATAACTACACTCTATAGAGTGCAGTTATTGACTACCCTATGGGTGTAGTTTATATTTAATAATTTTAGTCGCAGCTAAGAATCGGAAGCTTTCCGACGTCCGAAATATTGATCCTGTCTCCATAAATAAGTTTTAATTACCTGAAGGAAAAACACGTAATTGTGTACCTAAGTTACTAGTGTTATGTTATGTAATAAAGTTAACTAGTGTTTAATGTCGATGACGAAGTTTATTTATATTTAGTTAATATTCAGTATATAAATGATAAAAACACAATAATTGATATATAGTTGACACTAGATTACTTCTTAAATAATAATAAACGTTTTGAGAATTTTTTGTAAGTAGTATTTATTTCTCGAATTTTAAATGATTAAATACTTTTTGTGTCCATTCCTTGTCACTTATAAAGTACCAACTTATGTTTTTTTTAATGACAATATTCATATTTAACTAATTCATATAATAAAAAATAACCTAAGGAAATGGCTAGCTATGATGACTATTGGCCATAGGCAAGTTGTAATTCATTTTAAGTATATCTTTAAAAGAACGCGGTGTTAAATTATCAATACTACACATAAAGCAACCAATTAAACGCAGATGCCCATTGTTTGTTCTACATCAGTATTTTTGGGCTACTGACTAGTATAATTGTCACATCAGTAACCCTCTCGGTACTAAATAACATGATGCTAATAAAGATAAAAAAATGTAATAATAAATGTTCTTACAAAGTAAATGAGAAATGTTTGACTACGCCTTTTTTCAGATTCAGTCGTGCTTATATTCTTTTACAATAAGTTTTGTCAGGCCACAGCTCCTCTACATTTTACTCATCTTGTTATAAGAGACTACTAACCTTCTATTCTCGAATATATAGTGTGCAAATATATAATTATAAATTTAAGTATACGCTCAGTCTATTCGGCCACGAAGCAAATAATTATTCTTTGATGTATATCGAAACGTAAACGGTTCTTTAAACAAAACTGTTACATCTTCTGAATTCAGAATTTTAAACGAAATCTGATTAAATATTATACTTAAAATATCAGCAGAATACACAGTATAATCAAAATAATATTAAAATGTTTTACAGCCGATCACATTTTATTTTATAAAAAAATATCTTTCTCTGTAGTTTAAAAGATATTCTGTGTTGTTTTAATGGAGTTTCACAGACATCCAACACTTATCTAAGCGTAGTTAATAAGGCAACAATTATTAAAAAATCAACAAAATAATAGATGTATAAAATGCTATGAGCATTGTCAGTTAGATCTGAGATACTTTGTATGGTTTTTTTCCGTATATGATTGCATACAATTAAGAAAATAAAACCACGTCAATAATTATATCGAATAAAACACTCAATGGTGAAAGAGGAAAAAATGAATAATAGTCAAATTTATTACTTATTTTATAAGTAAAAAAGCTGTGTCTATTTAATATCCGTACAAACAAGAAAAATAAACTAGTTCAAGTAAAAAAAGTTACGAAATAAAATAATGTTACTATCTTTTAATTTAATACAAAACTTCTATTTCGTTTTTTTAAACACATAATAAAAAAAAATTTACATTTTTTACATTCTTTTGTCAACAAAATGTTATCAAGTGCACATGCGATTATTAATTTTTTGTAAAAATTTAGCTGTTGTCTTCAAACATAGTTACAACTATTCTTTGCTTAAATTTATCATTTCTTGATTAATTTTGATAACTACGCACCTTTCTTTTTTTTATTCGCATACATTTTCTATATTCATATAAAATCGAGCCTACTAATTTACACTCAATATTATTTAACCATCGTCCGAAGAAATTAAATTAAAAAATCTGATAGCACCGTAAAAATCTATATACTTTTCATTAACATCTATAGTTATAATAATATTCGCTGAAAAATGCAAATTGAAATCTACTACACATAAATATATACATACATTAAAGAATATGTGAAACCTTTACATAAATTAAAATACACCGAGTAAAAAAGTCGTCTTAAATTATTTATCTTTTATTTGGATTCAATGTTTACTTCCTACGAGCTTTTTTACATGAAGAATCTTCTGAGATTATTCTACCAGAATTCTAAGAGAGAAAACTTTTATACAACTTTAGAATCCATTGTCAGAAAATACGCATAGAGTAAACTTTTTGTGTGTTCATATAGGTTGTTTGATGGCCGAACTCTAAAAAAACTCAAATCCTCCGAGTGTCATCACGGAGGGAAATGGTTGCAGTAGTCAAAAAAGGGCAGCGAGAGGTGAAGTAAAACCGTTAGCCGTTTGTGGATAGCCAACGGTGAGAACACGAGGTGTGTCCGAAAATTTGGCGGTGTAACATTCGACCGTTGTTGCCGTTTGGCGTAACCGCCGCGTGCCGCCGCCGTCTTTTCCGTTGCCCCGGACTACCTTGGCCAACGCACGCAGGGCACGTCCGTCGTCTTCGTTCATAATATACGCTCCCCCCGACAGGCATTCGGCGTCCCGTGGAATCTGTTGGGACTGTAGTGGAGTACTAATGCACAAAACGACCACGGCCGATTGAAACGGGTGAACGGGATGACTAGTATTTCAAGTAGGGGAAGGAGGAGACGTGGGATCAGCGCCGGCGCGACGTCAATCGATACGATGCCTGTCCTGCGTGACCCCACCAAAACCGAACCGTTATTTTTTCGTATGCCCTCCCTGACTATGCACTTTCCCCGCGTCGGTATACACAGCAGATCGGCCGTGTGGTACACCCTGCATATAGATCATTGCAAGGCGGTCACCGCAGAGGAAGCGGTCTAACAGGTGTCGCTTTCCCATAAACCCTCTGACAAATATCTACGATCACACTAATAGAAAACGTACGAACTATAAAAATTCCGATAAGTTAATTGTACACAGCCCGATAAACTTGTCTTGGCGTTAATCGACACCACAATCTATAATACACGTACGCATAAATTATAAAACAACTGAAATACACCCAAATACAATGTATAGGGTAAATTCTGTTTTTCGACCTAACAATCCAACTGTAACATTCAAACATAAAATAAAACAACCATAAATGTTATCGATTTTGAATCGATAAATAATTCAAATTTTAAATTAATATTAAACACTGGCGGCGGATTTTGAAACACCCAAACCATTACAATGATTTTCTTCAATGGTAAAAAACATCACATCAAGTATATCGTTTACTTTAAAAGCAAAAACATTTGTACCCAAACCGACAGCGGTAGTACCCAAAACCTACCGGTAGCGGTGACATTTTGATCGATGTATGTAAACAGCGTAGGCCGTACATGTAATAAC